TTACTACCATTATTTCCATGTACAGCAATCTATGGTACATTTACTCGTAATCTATGGTTCATTTACTCGCACTTCCTGTCTGCTCCGGCTGTGCTGCAGCCAATAGTGAGCTATGCAGCAGCGCCCACGACTACAGTCCAAAGTCCAGTTATGGTAGCTTCAGGGGACCATATTATGGGGGAGGCCTTATGTTCGGGGTGGTCTTATTTTTGGGGGATGCCTTATATTTAAGCAAGAGGCAAAACTGTAAGTAGGTCTTATTTTCGGGGGATGTCTTACTTTCAGGGAAACACGGTATTCTTAGGACTGTGAAGACAAACATCAATCAAGTCAGTGGAAGATGCACCTTAACCTCACCCAGATAAAGCTTGTTGAGTGAAATCAAAGACCAAGGCGATGCTTATTTGTTTTTTTGATGTAAAAGGGATAATGCATTTGGAGTTAGTGCCACCAGGTCAGACTGTTAATCAAGTGTTCTATTAGAGGTTCTGAAAAGATTGCGTAACAGTGTGTGACAAAAAAGGCTTGATTTGTGGCTGAGTGGGGGCTGGTTTTGCCACCACAACAATGTACTTGCTCACGTAGCCATCTCAGTGTGCCAGTTCTTGGCAAAAAGGCAGCATGCCTCTCTTGCCCCATGGGCTTACCTAACCTTGCTCCATGGGAGTTCTTTTTGTTATTGCGGATGAAGAGGGACATGAAAGGACAGTGATTTGTCTACATAGAAGAGGTGAAGAAAAAAAACAACAAAAAAATGAGGAAAGTGCTATCAGCCATCCAAACAGATGAGTTTGAAAATTGTTTCCAAGCATGGAATCACAGATTTGACAAATGTTATTAAGTGTAATGGAGAGTACTTTGAAGATGATAGGTTTTTGGTAAAAAAAATTTAAATACATAGCTTTGAAAAGAAAATCAGTTTTGGGGGCATATTCCCTTGTATAGTCTTACTTTATGTTCTTTCATCTAAATCTCCTCATTTGTTGATTTTAGTCTGCAGTACATAGATATTTTTCAGGCATCTCAAATCCTTTGGAAATGAAAGGAATATAATTTAAAATTTAACCCTTAAAGCACTAGGAATTGATCAGATTCCTTTTTAATTTTATGATTTCTAAATTTAAAAGTAATTTTAGTATTCAGTAGAAAATTTTAACATTGTTAATGTTTAGATGACTTTCTTCAAATTTTTCATCTGCATCTATATTCATGTGTATACACAAATACATGTGTATGTGATTATGTGCATGGCTGCGATACAAGTACATCAGTGGCTGTTTCATTCGGGGTATTTGGGGATAGCTTTAAGTCTTCATAAATATTTTTTTAGCTATATAATATGCAATCCTATATATGCACTAGCCTATGTGGATATCTAGTTTTTTCCCCAATTTTTTTGATATTAAGGTAAAGCTTTGAAGAATATCTTTGTACATAAACAGTTGACAGTATTCCTAACTGTTTTCTCTGGCTCATTTGTGCTAAGTAGACTTACTAGCCGAAAGGATATGAACCTTTTGTTGTAACAAACAAAGCTCTTGTTGCATAATTAATATTTCTTTAATTATTCAGGAAGTACTTTACTATGTTATAGACCCTTATGGAATTAACATATCTGTTAAGTAACGCAATTAGGGGAACATACCACTAAGTGCCTGGTAGAAGACTGGTAACTTACACATTATCTCTCCTTTTGTCCTCACCGCAGTCCTCTCATAGGTAGATCTAGCACTCTTTTTTTTTAATCATTATATTGGGAGGTCTTATCACAATCCACCCATTGTGTCAAGCACATTTGTACATATGTTGCCATCATCATTTTCAAAACATTTTCTTTCTACTTGAGCCCTTGCTATCAGCTCCTCATTTTCCCCAACTCTCCCTCCCTCATGAACCCTTGAGAATTTATATTTATATGTATAAAAAGAGCGATCCAAATATATGTAAATTTGGATCACTCTTTTTCAGATGAGCAAGTTAAGGCTTTATGAGATTAAGGTATATCCCTAATTTTGAATATGAAATCGTGTATGAACCCCTGGTCTCTCTTAATCCATTTTCTTTCTTCTACTCTGTATAGTCTTAACTTAGAATGAAACATCAAGAAGGGCTGGTGTAGATTGTCTTTGGAAACAAATTAGAAGCTTCTGCTGTACTGATTTTTTTTTGCCTGAGAAGGAAAGGATGTATGTGATACGTACCCAAAACAATTCAAATGCACACTCACTGCTGCGGAGTCCATTCCAACTCCTCGTGACTCAACACACACACGTTAGATTCCTCCCATGGGAAATGCCTCGGTCCTTGGCCTCACACAACACACACACACACACACACACGTTAGATTCCTCCCGTGGGAAATGCCTCGGTCCTTGGCCTCACGCAAGAAAGAATTCACGCCGAAGCCTGGTTTGTGATCCAAGTGGGCTTTGATAAAGGATAGAAGCAGGCGTTACAGTAACTGAACACAGGCACCCTCATGGCACTGCACACCCACGTGGTGACCAAGGCCAGAGAGAGAGCGCCTGTGGCCCAGGCAGGCAGAACCACAGAGAAGCAGCTGGAAAAGAGAGGGTGGTCTCGGGTTCTGGCCTTTTTAGGGCCGTCTGGTTGGGAAGCGTGGTCAACAGTGCCGGTTGACCCCATTGGCTGAATTAAGCCCGCCTGACCTAGTTTGGGGCCTACCCAGGTGTACCACCTTCCTGGCTACAGGGCCCGAATTTGCGCAAGCCCTTTAGCCATTATTGGCTTCCAACTTCCTGTAGGGGACCCCTAGGCATGGAGAAGAACAACCCCCTATCTTGCTACCTAACACATATACATACATATGCATATATATATATAATGTGATAGGAGACACATTTTGCCTTAAGAGTTCTTATCGAAATATCCCAACTTTTGAAAAAGCTTATCTTTGGATTAACTCTGGTACTTTATTCTATTCAACTTGA